AAATACTGTATGGTGTTTCTCTAGCAGCGATAATTTTACCGAACTTAAAAAGGCATAATTGATACTATATTCGTGAATATTAGAGTCCGATGGAAAGCGCACGCAGCTCTGGTCTCTTATTTCCCGGTATGTCAACGAGTTGTGCCTGACATTTGGTCTGTTGGATTATGTTCCCGCAGCAATCACTTTTTCTGAATTAAAACAGGCCGTTTCTTTAAAATTCAATCCTGCGAACTACATTGTATCCCGCCAAAAGCCATATTTCGATATTATATGTTATACAAGTGACTACGCATCATAGCTTACGTGGGTACACATGCCCATTCCCATTTTCTGAAGGTTTCTTAAGGACAAGCTGCCTGACAATGGAAAAAAAATTTGGAGCATTTATGTTTTTAACTGGAAGAATTGCTTTATGCTAGTTTCTAGATCAACTTTATACCGTGACCTTGCCATTGTCATTTTTGTTGTAACTTTTTCGTTGATACTGGAAGTACATTAAATCGCACTTCCACTGGCGTGCGTCTGATGCTAATTCCGAGCCCACTGGTGGTCTTGCGAACGCAAAATTTTTATATCTGCATTGGGTATTCAAGCTTGGCCTTTTCCCCAAATAGAATAAATATCTAGTACCCTGTGGTAATAATTAGGTGAAACGCCGGAGGAACACAGGACTCATTTATATCGTTGGACAGTTTCTCGAGTTATAGGATAATTGGCAGAAATGTGCACTGTTTTACGGAACACATTTAATCCAATTTGGAAACCGGATGTATCATCGCAAAGTTTAATAGATCTTCTGGAATTAGGCATTGGCTCGAAATCGTTATCAATTAGGAACAGAAAAGTGGACGTCTAATAATAAGAGAACACATTTTTTTCTGGAATGAGGAAGAGGCATATAATTTGTCTTGTTTTTTTTCTTGACTGAATAACCCATTTGGAAGACGTCTAATCGAATATTTACTCGTTAAAATTAACGAAAGATTTAACCTGAAATGCTGAATTCTACTGCATGCGTGTACTCGGTCTAAGTTAAAACCACACTTGCAGAGAAAAGTTTTATCTTGTAGTGATTAATATTGCTGTTTCCACTGCTAAATTTTTACTGAGTTTCAAGGCTATCGTTAAAATTCTCATCAAAAGTTGTGTGCTAACTTAAATCACATAGACGTCGCATTTGAAGACCACCAACAAAGATGTGTCTAGGTTACTCGGGCGCGCTTCTACTTCAGTCGGAGCTCTGCCAGATGACAAGAGCAGTTGTGTGTTGCTCGAACTTCGTATGCAAATTAAGTATGATCGATTTTTTTCTCGCCACGTTGGCAAGCATCCAGGCTAGCTGAATATATGCAAGACACGCAGCTTAGTGCCTCACATAAGTAATGTTTCGTCGTCTGCTTCTTTTTAAACCCACTTGATTGAATACGCAGATGG